AACTCAGGTTTGAACGGTCATAGGGAAGGAACCCTATACAGCAGCTGCTACACCAGGCACAATCACGTGGTTACCTGTTCTGGTTTGATTCTGATGAAGATACAGCGGAGGTGACTCATCTTTTCCTTGTGGGGAGGTGGACCTTGCGGCGAAAATCATTATTTTGACGCGCCCCTAGATCTGTTTGCCGTTGCAAACATTTACAAATGCGCAGTCATGCATTTCGGCCTGGGAGTGCATAGTCAAGCTTATTATCCTTGTACCACGGTTCTCCCTTGGCGGTCGCGTGAGACTGTCACCACACTTGTCAGAGAGCTAGCTATTGCGTTTCTTGGGTCGTCATACAGACATTTCATCCGACTAGACATGTCAACCGATTTTCCGGTGCCACCGATTATACCTCGGTGGTACAACATTCGCACAACGAGCGTAGAGGGTTGGGGTGCGCTATATAATGACCGGATCCACGAATGGAACACCCTAGCTGCATTTTAGTTTTTCTTGTTTACATTCTTTATTTGTAATCTTATTTGTACATTGCTCTTTTAATGAGAACATTAATATTTTATATTGTATTGCTTACTGCATTCTACATGTTGCATGGGTAAGTTGCGCGGATCCACTGTTAATATGTTTAAGTTGGAAGCTAAAAGAACAATCTAAAATGTTACAATTTTACAACATAATGTCCAACATAATACAATAACCCTCTGACTGAATGGACCGTAATCATCATACGGTCCACTGCCATCGTCCACATCCTCATCCTCATCTGCGCCCTCCTCCTGCTCCTCCTCCTGGTCACCCTCCTCAGCATCATCATCGTCATCGTCATCCTCATCCCGACGGTGGATCCGTTCTCTACGAACTGAGGCCGAAATACCACGGGATCTGACATGTCTATGCCCCGACCTCTCCACTGAATAACTTCTACTAAGAAGCTCTATATTCTTCCCCCCACCATGACGACCCTACACAAAATTTTAAAATATATAAACATACAAAAATTTATACGATAAATAATCATCATCGCAAATCAAATACACTAAAAACATACAAATAATTGTAAACAAAATATAAACGTAGAAAAAATACAACGAAATTGAAAAAATTTATAAAAATAAACAACAAAATATAAAAACAATTCAAAATTATATTAAAAAAAAATAATAATAATAATTAAAAACAATTTTTTAAAAAAATTAAAAAAAAAATAAAAAAAAAAAATTGGGGGGGCGCCTTGGCTGGACGCCCAGCCGGCGGTGGTGGCGCCAGATTCAGACGCCGCCACCAGTTGGCTGGCGTCTGGGCTGGACGCCACAGCCACGGCTGCGGCGCCTAGACTAAACGCCACAACCGTGGCGGTGGCGTCCAGCCCAGACGCCAGCCAACTGGTGGCGGCGTCTGAATCTGGCGCCACCACCGCCGGCTGGGCGTCCAGCCAAGGCGCCCCACCGCGTTCACGGCGGTTTTCCCCTTTCTTTTTTTTTTTTAAAACAAAATATACCTTTCCTCCTTGGGACATCCTTCCCTCCGCCGCCGCCGCCACTTCCTTGCCTTGCCGCCTCGACATTGCCGTTATTTTGAAATTTTTTTTTTTTTAGAGAGGTTGAAAGAAGATGAGCAATGAGAGTGTGAGTGATGAGAGTGTGAGTGTTTTTTTTTTTTTTAAGGTCAAGGGCAATTTTGGGAAATCAAGTGAATTTTGTGGGCTTTATGTAGTAATTTGTGGGCGATGTTTAACAAATCCCTAAAAATAAGGAAAAGGTTAATATAAAATGTTTGGGCCTGAAACGAATGGATCAAGATAAAAATGGATCAAACAATTTTTTAATCGGATATGTAATCCGACCCATTATCGGGTTTGAGTTAGAGAGACAAAATTAAGTGTTTACATGGCACGACATTTGATGAAATGGTGGAAAATTAAAGTGTCAAATACTACCTCCGTTAACATTTACTTGCAACTTTGGAATATTTTATGTCTCTCAAATAATACTCCTAAGTTGCAAGTAAATGTAAACGGAGGTAGTATTATTGTTTATTAATTTCATGGCCTGACTAATTATATTAGTTTTATGTATTAGTTACGAAATAATCCATATGATATAATATAGGTGCTAATGATCTTTAAAATTATGAATTCTAATAATATTACATTTCATTCCATTAATCAATTCAGTATATAAATCGATCAACTCCGATCCAAATTAGTATGGGATTTAGAAGTCATACCTCTTTAATTTAGTTGAGATTTCTTACTAGTACATTTTAATTTAACAAATCAAACAACACCTAAGATGATGACATGAATTTTTTAAAAGACAAAACACAGTTTTCTTAAGGATTAATTAAGCTAAAACATATAATAGGAGTAATTAATAGCTAGAGTGTATGTAGCTGGCTTAGCATTTCATGTCTATCTCTAGCCTTTGACGCCAGGTCATCTTTGAGCTAATCAAAACCCACATAGCATGATCTTACGTTTAATGCCTTATTCCTTCCATTTTTTTATACACAGTATTACTCCGTATCTCATTAGGAATCTTTAATTTGAGTAGAGAAAAACTTTAACCATGAATAATCTATGGTAAATATACTATTAAAAAAAAATCTATGGTAAATATAAGTTAAAAGTAATAATGTGGAATCATGTTAAATATCTACTTTTAATATATTTTGTAATGCATAATTGAAAATATTGACACTCAAATAAGTGTATTAAGTTATCAAAAATAAAAAAAAAAATAAAAAAAATATGTGTATTAAAATATTTACAACATTTAAGACCAAAACAAGAAATAAAGGATGTATCATGTATGTACACATTATTTTGAATGTCAAATGTCACTACACGTAATTATATGAGATACACCGTACACATAGATTCATTGAATGTGTAGTTTTATGAAAGTCTTCCCTCAAAAAAAATATAATATGAAATTCTTAAAAAAAATTATTTAGAAATCAATATATTGGTCAAACCTAAATTTTAATACTATACAAAATCAAAAGATATTTTTTAGAAACGGAGGTTGTATGATTTACGGTGTAATACATTAATAGATCATTGTCTCATTGTTCATTAAGAAAGCAAAGCCAATTGAGAAATCATGCAATTCTATAAAATAAGATAAATAAATAAACTGGTTACGTTGTCCTATCCTAGCTATTTGTTCGTTCTTCCCACTTTTACTTTTTTCATCTCATAAAAAGATTTAAATGGAAATAACATAAATGATTGGAGGGAGTATTATATTACATAATACTAGTATATTATTTGATATATAAATTATTAGAAAAGATAAATTAAGTTACTACCTCCGTTTTATATTATTTGTAACGTTTATACATTTTCTACTCATATTTTATGTCAAACCGTTGCAAATTAAATAATACTTGTATATAATGGTTGTTTCAAATATATATATATATATATATATATATATATATATATATATATATATAGGGGTTCAAGGGGGTTCATTGAACCCACAGATTTTTTGAAAAAAAATTATTAGTTTTAATATTTTTTTTTTTGTTCATAAAGCATAAAAAACGGATATATACAATTGATGTGCATAAATTAGAGTTGGAAAATAGCGGAGCTCAGTGGTTTTGGCCTAGCACATTAGTTGTGCTTCGGGCTTATTGGTCAGAGGTTTGATTCTTTGTTACAACCTTTTTATTTAGTTTTTATTTTTTTCAGCCTTTTTTCCCCTTTGCTTCTCTTTTCTTACTTTTTTTTTTTTTTAAAAAAAAAAAAAAACCCCTTTTTCTTGAAGGACAAAGGTTTGATTACCATGTAACCTACATTCAAATTTAATGTTGCAACATTTGTAATTTTCAATATTTACTCACACTCCTTCTACTGTTTTTTTAATTTATTCTCATGTTGGGAAAAAATAGGTATAGTAAAATGGTATCTTGTTAGATTCAATTCATCTAGAAAAATGCTTTAATTTTGTAAAAAAAAAAATGCTTTAATGATATCAACTTTCTTTAATTTTTACAAAAATGTGATCTAAGATATTTAAGGTATAGAATTTCCATTGACAAGCGTAAAATCCTCAACGTTGCAATTTAAAAAGACCAGGGGGTTATATCTTATTTTGTAACGCTACCGAACCCCCACTTCATATATATATATATATATATATATATATATATATATATATATATATATATATAGGGGAGGGATCCGGTGAGAATAGGTCCATATGTGAGAATTCATACTTATATGAGAACTGATTTAAAATTTAGAACATGTGAGTAAAACTTTAGAACATGTGAGTAAAAATTTAGAACATGCGAGTTAAAATTTAGAACATGTGACTCAAATTAAAATTCTGAACATATGAGTAATAAATTAGAACATTTGTGTGAGTAATATGTTTAGAACATCTGATTTTAGAATTAGAACAAGTGATTAAAAATTTTTAAAATTTGCTTTATGAAATTTTAAACATATGAGTAAAATTTAGAACATCTGACTTAAGATTATGAACATGTGAATAAAAATTTAGAACAAACTGATATAGAATATAGAAAGTGTGAGTAAAGAATTTAGAACATACGTGTAAAAAAAAATAGAACATACGTTTTAAAATCTGGAACATATAATTAAAAATCTTAGAACACACGTTTTAAAATTTAGAACATATAAGTTAAAATTTTGGAACAAGTTATTTAAAATTTATGACATCAAACTTAACTAATTTATTGTTTAGAACATGTGAGTACTAAATTAGAACATTTGATTTAATTTAGAACACCTAAGGAAAAGTTTAGAACATCATATTTAAAATTTAGAACATACGAGTAAAAATTTAGAACATAAAGAGTGTTCTCACATATGAAAAATTCTCACATAAGAAAAATTCTCACAGGAGTCTTCCCCTATATATATATATATATATATATATATATATATATATATATATATATATATATATATATATATATATATATATATATATATGGTAAAAAAGAAAGTAGGGAAAAAAAATTATATACATGTGTTTTATTGTTGAAATAGGAGAGCTAAACAAATTAATTCAATTAACTAATAACCAATTAGCACTATAAACAATCTATAATGGAAACTTTACAAATGAATGAATAAATCCTTCATCCTGCTTACTTAGGAGCCTCAGTAAGGGGATGATAGTGTGTAAAAGAAAAGCCAGAGTCCTTAAATTTCTCTTGGATGTTTTGATCAAAACTCTTAACTATTGAAGGGCTCAAATAATTAGTCCAATCTCCAACTTCACCTTTTCTAAACAAAGCTTTGTTCTCAAAAAACCCATAAAAATTACCACTCTTATTCACTTCCATTTCCTTCAAACTTTCAAGGCTACAAAGTTTGATTATTTCATCAATGATACCTTTGTTTTCCTCCTCTTTCGAAAACGGGTAACCCACAAACTCCGCCAATTTCTTCACATAGGCTTTCGGATCCTCCTTTAGCCCTTCATATTCCATGAACAACACCTTGTTTGGATTTTGTATGCTTTCCTTCCAATACCCAAGTACATGATCTTCATAAGGGCCATATGGGAATTTCCCCTTAGAAAACATATTAAAATCTTCCTCTATCATATTTACCTTAAACTGGCGGTAAAAATAGAAAAAACCTAAAATCACCTTTAGCTGACGGAAAAGATGCTTAAAACCCATATTTACCTTCAACTGACTGTAAAAATGCTTTAAGCCCATATTTACCTTAAGTTGGCGGTAAAAATGCCATGATGAAACGAAAGTATCTAAAGGATTTCGACATACATAAATAATTTTGGAGTCGGAGATTTTCATTGATTTTGGTAGTGAAGAATACGGTATATGGGTGGCAAAGAGTCGAGGTGAGGGTAATTTGGTAAGATCGGGTTGACACCCTTGAATATTTTTATAAACTTTGGCCTCTAACTGAAGAACAAGTTCGTGGGCGTTTTGACTCCGAAGTGGGTGTTGATCAATGTCCGAAAATCTCTTCCGATTTATAATAGCATAAAGGAGAGATTTTAACCAAGTGGTACCTGTTTTGGGTAAGCTAGCTAAAATGATATCGGTATCATGGGCCTCGAAATGGGTTTGCAATGAGATTGTGGGCTCAAGAAGTGGGCACCAAAAGCCTTGGTAAAGGTTAATGGGAAAAATACCCATCCAATGATCAATTGGAAGGGAAAGTTGAAGTTGTTGAAACTCACCTTCAATTTCTTGAATTGTTGGCATTTTGGTTCTTGTATTTGGTTAATGGATATGACGTTGAGAAATTCTTGTTGCTAATTTATACATAATACGGAAAAAAAAAAAAAAAAAAAAAATGACTTGTACGCCAATACATACATTAAACAAGACTAATTTGATTTGTATTAAAGAAAAATGACTTGTACGCCAATACATACATTAAAGTGATTAAACAAGACATCTAAATCTAAATGAGTTAAATATTAAATTTTAGTTATTTTATTAGGGAATGATCTACCTATTTTTTGAGTATGATACATGGAATTGAATTAATAAAATTTATTAACTTTCTAATTTACCAACTGGTTGTTTGTGTTGTGGTGATTGGGACTACACTTGGTAGGGAGGACTCATGTTCGATCCTCCGCAACAACAATTGGGAGGGGACTGGAACATTACCACTCAAAACTGATCCACAAATCTAAATTAGTCCAAAAGGTGAAGCGGGTGGAACACCAAAAAATAAAAATAACTTTCTAATTTTAATATATACACATTTAATGCATCTAATAGAATTACGTATGATTATATATTATCTAATAAATTAATGTAAAATTATAGTCAAAGTTTCTAAAGTTAGAACATAAAGAAATGTTACAAGATTATTAAAATCTAATATTTTAACTTTTTTTAAAGGTGGTTAGATAAAACTAAAAAAAAAAAAATACAAAAAAATAAAAAAAAAATAAATAAAAAAAAAGAGATAGAGAGAGAGAAATGATAAAAAAATAATCACAAATCCTTATAGGTTGGTCACACGTTGTGTGTGGCCAATCATCATAAGGGTTACTTCGTTTGTTTTATAAGGGTTACTCAATCAGTGTTATATGAATTATTTTGTCATTGTTATAGGGTTACTCAATTAGTGTTAAAAGAATTTACTCGATCAATATTACAGAGGTACTCTGTCAATGTTATAGGGATTACTTTGTTCTTTTAAAAGCGGCCCATGATCGATATGGTTAATTGAATAATTGGGTTTTTTTAGGCGTGGTGTAAAAAAAAAAAAAAAAAAAAAAAAAAAAAAAAAAAAAAAAAAAAACTCGTATTATTTCTAGTAATATTAAAGCTTGAAGTAAATTTGTGTCTGGCGTGAGCTTAGATTATTTGAGTTATTTATTGGACTCCAGAATTATAATCTATTTAACTAATATTGTACGTGATGTCTTTCAAAAAAAATCTTCTACGTGATAGGAACTTCGCAGCAAATATATAAGTTTTTCTATGGTGTCTTGTCTTCCCTTTCCAATCAATGGACACCTTTGAATCTCATTAATAAATTTTAGTTTTTTTTCCTATATAATACTACCTCCAGTCCAAATTACTTGCAACTTTGAGGTATTATTTGTGAGATAAAAAATATTCCAAAGTTGCGAGTAATTTAGACTGGATGTAGTATTTAAAAGTTAAAACTTAGCTTAATCAAAGTGAAAATCTGATTCAAAAACTTTTATCACAAAATTAGCATGGGCATTGATGGCTGAGTCACTAGTCATTAGTTCATTACATAAAATTATTTAAATAGCAACTTTACCTTAAATCAACAACTAACACAAGTTTTTCAATAACAAAATCAACTAACACGAGTTTAGGATATAGCTTTACTCATAAAACGTGGTATCACGACTCTAGATAGTGTTATTTTTTTTTCCTTCGTTTAAGAATTGATATAGTCAAACTATTAGCAATATTATAAACTTGTGTTAGTTGTTGATATAAGGTAAAGTTGCTAGCTATATCCTAAACTTGCATTGTGTTAGTTGCTGATTTAAGGTAAAGTTGCTATTTTAATACTCAATGCCCATCTTAATTTTGTGATAATTTTATGTAATTACTAATGACCGAGCCATTAATGCCCATCTTAATTTTGTGATAATTTTGACCTATTAGTAATAATTAGAGACATTTATAGTGAATTTATGCTTTGATAAACATAATATAAGAAAGTAAGAAATGTGTCTATAAAACAGAACAAGTATAGTTTGTTCAAATCGCTCACGTTTCTATTGAAAGTCATTTTCAAATTATGGTCTTCATTTAAGGCAAGTACAACGTGGGCTTGGGTCGTTTATATCATTTATTAGTGACAATTGTTGCCTATCATTTCAGTTACTTGTCATATATGAATACTCAATTAGAGCCCACATTGGACTTATCAATGAAAATTTTAATTATACTTTGTATCTAACATTACTCCCTCTATTCATAAATTCCATTTCTAATTTTTTCTATTATGTAACGAAAAAATGCTAAAAGAAAGAATGTAATTTAAGAACGGAGGAAGTAACATTGCATTTATAATCAATCATTCACTATAGAGCGATTTCTCCTAACTTAACATGCTACATAGTGTATATATATATATAAAATAAACAAATTAATAAATAAATAAATAAAACCTCATGTAGGAGCTGTGAGATGTTTCTTCAACAATTATCATTATACTACCTTCGTTACATATTATTTATAACAATTTAACATAAAGTAGAGAGGAAAAGAAATGTCTAATCGTTGCAAATAATATGTAACGGAGATAGTATATTCACTTTTAAATAATATCTCCTAACCTAGCAACGGTATAAATCTTATTAGAATGAACAAAGGTGATGGTTTGCAATTTCAATTCCTCCCTAAAAATTCATGCTTGAGCTTAGGAGGACAATAATGTGAGAACGGAGAGTAATAATTTGCGTAAAACTTGTAGCACTTTTAAATAATTGTCGATACATATCGGACTATTTGAGCTATATTTGTTGTCCTTGAGGACCACCATAATTCAAGAACTTATGGTACGTATTAAATTTTCTGTAGAGGCTGACTTAAATTTTTTTTTTTTGTTTGGTACATATTAATTAGAGCCCGAGTAATATTAGGTACTAGCATTAGTTGGGATTTGGGAGACACTACATTTACACTCAGTGTACAAAAGGAACTTGCACACTCTTTTATGATTGGTTAATTAGGCTTTTTTTTTTTTTTTTTTTTTTTGTGGAACCTTAATATTTTCATTTAAAATTGAAATGAAAATCCTTAAAATTTTGAATTCAAAATTGAAATTAAATCTAACTTTTCAACCACTTAGGATTCGTTTGACATTGCTGTTGTTTTCTGTTTTTTGGTTTTTTATTTATTAAAAGTATATGATATATACCTGTAGACACCCATTTGTGTCTCCACAAAACCAAACCCAGTGATGAGTACTTTCGCATTGAATCATAATCGAATGAAGCGAAAGTGTAGAAAATCTAGTGTTGCGGATAATTTTAATTTCTTTTCTCTTCTCTCTGTTTTTGAAAACTTATTTTAAGAAAACAGCCAATCCAGTTTGGTTGGTCCATGATATGGGTCTAATAGTAGTGTAGTTGGATGGGGCTTGCAAAGAGCTTTCCAACGATATATTATAAGCCCAATTCCGATGAATATTGAGGAAGTTATGGCCAATTTACTAAACTGGGCTCGGTTTGAGCTTTATATGCGGCCCAATGATCTAGAGAAGGGCCTAATATGATTTATCATTCCTAATGCAATTAGGAATGGTTTTAGTCTTCTAAATTCTTCTAGAAGGTTCTTTTCATTCCTAATTCAATTAGCATTGATAAATTGACTTTTGTTGACTTTTCAGAGTTTTAATTAAAATCAAAAAGCATTTTCGAGGAAAAGACACGATTTTATCCTCCAGTACGGCAAACTTATCTGATTTTCGAAAACGCGTCAAAAACAGGCCTGGCGCCTGACTCCAGGCATTGGCGCCTGGAACCAGGCTTGGCGCCTAGTGCCAGCCATTGGCGCCTGGTGCTAGCCATTGGCGCCTGGCGCCAATTAGCTGGTTCTGGCGCCAACTCTGTTTTAGGTGCGCCAATCTCGTTTTACGTGCGCCAAGTGCTCTGTTTTGATATTTTATCTTTTTGGCTGATTTCTCTGTAAATAACGTATTAAAAACTCCGTTTTGATTCACCAATTCTCACGAATTCTCACCTACAATCAGTTTTCATTCGCAATCATTAATTCCCTAATTCTCTCTTAATTAATTCATCTCTCTCTTTCTTTTTCTAAACTTGCTTTATAATACAAAATTCCGCATTCATTAGATCTAGAAACACCTAGCCATATTCGAAGTTGCCTTCGCCCTAGACGTGAAAGGTTTAATTTCTGAGGGTTTGGTCCCAAATCTCTCTTTCAATTATTTAATTTAATTGTTTTGTTTATTATTTTCCTTGAAGTTACTAACGTGTGTATTTTATTATTAGAAAGAGGTACGAGGCATCAAAGTAAGTACTTTAATTGATTTATTGATATTATGATGTAGAAATCATGTTTAAATTGTTGTTATGATGTTCCTAGTATCATGTCTAGGGTATTTTTAATATTAAATATGCTTATTATGATTCCTGCGATGTCTTTTATTCTCTTCCTAATATTTATGATTGTTAGTATCCTGTTAGGGCTAAAGATTTGATTTTATTGCTTAGTGACATGCTAGGGTTTGTTATTAATCTTGTTAGTATCATGCCTAGGATCTCGCTATTTTTATTATGCTTTAACATGATTTATGATTGTTTTGATTATGATTATATTTTTATTATTGCTATAATTATTATTGTTATGATTAACATGATTATTATTATGGTTAATATGATTGTTATTATGATGATTATTACATTGTTATAATTTTATGGTCATGATTATACTTATTATTATTTTATTATTATTATGTTGCTTGATGCTTATTTATTGTTATTGCTTGATCACGCCTTCTATGCATGTTTAAAGGGAATTTGTACTTGTAATCACGCTTAATAAGATAATTAATAACCTTGTTTAGGGTTAATTTGATTATAATTCAAGTGATCACCAATAATAGATTTATTTGTGCATTATATTCAACCAACATAGATAAACAGGTTTAGGGTTAATCCTAATGATTGCATGTTATTTAGAAAGCGCACATGAATACGATTTGAATAAAGTAGAGGCCTATTATTAGGGCAGGTTCAATCTCTTTTAGGTTGGATTTGTACCTTCATCCCCGAACCCTTATTTGGTTCTAGACCTTATGGAGTTGACGATCTCTTGGATCGTTAAGGGGTGTAACCTTCACCTCGTGAATGGTTTACAAGTTCCTAAAACTTGTTAGCGACTCTTTTGCTCTATCTTCTTCCCTTTTGGACGCCACCGTACTTTAGTATATGATCACAGTGGGGTTCAAGCAAGGGGGTTAACGCTTGAAATTTATTCCCCACAATACCTCATAATGAATCAAAAATATTTAAACTTATTAAAATCATGAAAATTTTGAAAACTGACAACAGAAAAGTGAAAACACCTTTTTCTTGTTTCCTGTTTTTGGTTTTTGGTTTTTTTAAAAAAAAAAGAAAACTGAAAACCAAAAATGATGCCAAACAAGCCCTTAATTAATTATTGTACAATTTTCAAAATTCATCCCCTTATACTTTTATTTTTGCCTTATTGTAAATTTGTAACTAATCATCTTCCCTTTCCCTTTAAAAAGAAATAAAAATATAATAAAAATATAACAAAGATGGTATGGCTTTTTATTGACGTTGCCTCAGGATACTAATTTTGTAGTTGTACATCTGCTAATTTTTAAGAGCATTTAATTCATGTCATACATGAACTACATTTTTTTTTAAAACAATACATTAACTACATTTAAGAAGAAATAAATTAAATAAACAAAAGTATTAGATAACAAAGATAGTATGCTTCTTATTGACGTTGCCCCAGGATACTACTTCTGTACGTAGTTGTACAACTACTAATTTTTAAGAGCATTTATTAGTGTGTATGTAGTTGTAGTATGTATTTTCAATACTTGTAAAGTATAATATCATTTATTGTGCAACATTAAAGAATAAATGATTATTAGCCTAGATGGTTAAACAATAACGTTTCTTCAAAGAGGTCAAGTGTTTGAACCTTGTCATCCATATTTTTTTTTCCAATATATTTGAGGCAACATGAAGTATTGTTAGGGATGGCAACGGGTCGGACTCGAAGCGGATTATGCTACAGCCGACTCCAACCCGACAGGAAATCGGAGGTTAAATCCGACTCCGACATCCGACTCCGACTCCGACTCCGACTTCAATATCCGACCTCCGACTCCGACTCCGAGTTTTTTTTCATTATTCAATATACTTTGAGATGTTGGGCTATTTGGGCCTTTACAACCCACACCGAATGCCACTATGTCCCACACAAAAATCCACTATCTATTAGAGTCGGAGTCGAATAATCCGTTAAAGTCGGACATTTGTCGGAGTCGGATTTTTTTTCTCGGATTTTTTGTAGGATCCGACTCCGACCCTCCTTCGACTTGGAGTCAGATTATTTTAACGGAGTCAAACTCGGATTACTTTTTTCTCGGACTCGGAGCGGATATTTTACCTCGAATCGGGGCAGAGTAGGGTCGGATCTGGACTAGATTGTCATCCCTAAGTATTGCTAGTAGTGCGGATGATGTGACATATTGAAGAATTGAATGGATGACGTGGCATAATAAGAAGTTGAGTGAGTGACATAGCGTAGTGAGGGGTCCATGTGGCGTTGAGACGTTTTTAGAAACGTCTTTTAACATATTAGTATAGAACTATAGATAATCCAAATTCTCCAATCTTATAGTACGGTTAATGTTCATACTCAAAAGTACATTGCTTTTGATTGAAATAATTGTATGTCACCATTGAATTAATATAATTTTATACTACATCCGGTCCAAATTACTCGCAACTTTGGGGTATTATTTGTGAGATATAAATATTTCAAAGTTGCGAGTAATTTGGACCGGAGATAGTATATACAGTTATTCAATATTATTAATTGTTAGGAGTCAAATCTTAAAAACTTTTTGTTAATTGTGGAATACCAAGAGGCCAAGACATTCCAACTTTCTTAATCTAGGTCTCTTTTCATTTCTCTTGTAAATTAAATTTTAATTTTGGGTATTTTGTTGTAAATTACTTATATCTGTATGAATTTGTCTATGTTATCAAATGATTATTAATGGGTATTTTTTCTGTCGTGGGAGGTGGTTGGTCATGGTGACTTGGTGAGTGATTTGGTGGGCGGCGAGTTGTGGTATTGGGTTGTTGTTGCTGGTCGTTTGTTGGCGGGGATGGTTGGTGGAATTAGATTAGCAAATGGTGTTTTTGCGGGTGGTGGGACTTGGTGATTGTGTGCGTAAGGTTGGAGATTGATTCGTTATGACTTATGAGTATTCAACTATTCACCATGGACATTGTAATTGGTTTTTTTTATAACAATAATTTTACATGGAAAATGGAAAAATGGAATAATACCATTCACTAGGAATTTTCCGATCCATTATTCACTAGCAAAATGGGTTATTTAGTGAAAATGATAGTAACTCATCAACTAAAAGTACTTTTTCGATCCATTGTTCCAATTTGAAAACAGCAAATTTAAGATTTAAATCGCCAATTCTTTGACCTTATGTGTATAATGATCCTTTAAAGGGTAAGATAAGTGTAAATACCTAAATGATCTTATAAAGTGTATGATGATCCTTCAAAATGATACAAGATAATGGTCCATAGTTTTCCATAACAAAGGTTGATTGATATTAAGTTTGCCACAATAGCCAACAAGTTGTATATTTTGGTGGTATCGAATGAGAGATATTATTGATAAAACTCATTAGGCATTTTGTCGAACACCTTGTAAGCGGCAATCGAATACTGTAAGAATAACAATGGTTTTCTGAGTTATTGCAGACATGTTTGTCTTTGGATTTGAGCCAATTCATCCATTATGTTATGCAATTATAAAATCTCCATCGAAAAAACGCACCACCTGCATTTGCCCACCACCCACCCCGAAGATCACCGCCCACGTAAAGGGAGGAGAGAGGATATATAGTAATTAGTTTAAGCTGATTAAAATATTTAAAAAAAAAAAAATTGAGAAGAACAAAGTTGGGATGAAATTATGGATTGATTCTTCAAAAAAAAAAAATCATGGATTGAAGAAGACGATAAATAAGATACTTTCTCTCTCCTAATTAAAATTCACATAGTTATGTTGGTGCCATCCAAATATCTTCCGCTGCAAAGACTATTTGTTCGGGAAAATGCCAAAAAAATTTCCCTCTTAATTCTCCTTCCTAAAATTTCAGCTTCCCTCTTTCTTTTTTATTTTATTTTTATTTTTTATGTGACCTGTTGAGTTGTCCAAATTCTATTTATAGTGCGTAAAATTAATTTGTACATTGAGGGTAAATGTAGTGTTTTTGTGAGGATTTGGTTAGTCAGTTGGGCTTTGGAGGTATCAAAAATATATAAAAATAAAAATAAAAAAATAAAAATAAAAATAAAAATAAAAGTTCCCATCAAAAATTAAAAATAATACTGGTAATGAAATTTTCTTTTTTTTTTTTTAAAAAAAAAAAGTAAACTAAAACTTTTCTTTCTTTCAAAAAAACTATTTTGGATAACAAAAAATGGAAGGAAAGGGAGGGAGACAACTTCCTTGTTTGAATAATATGTTGGGGGAGGGGGAGGGATGGATCCATTTTCCCTCCACCTTTAATAAAGACCATCCCTTTAAAATTGGAGAGATTTGGAGGGAAAATAGAGCTCATCAATTCCTCCTATTTCCCTCCCTTCGATTTCCCTTCTAATTTGTTATCCAAACATAGCATTAAGACTTTAATTTTGTTGGTTACTCAAGTAGTCAAGCCATCAAGAGTTGGTTAGTCCACAATTCACATAACTAAAATAGTGAAAAGACCAAACTAGAGAGAGCAAGAAGTATTCATAAAATGGTTTGTCGACAAAATCCAAATAACAAGGATCTTAATCTAAATTACATCACCATTAAAACTACATAATCATTTATTAGGACAACATGAAGCTACATTACTACAATGTCACACCACCAATCACATCTAAAGTGACAAAAACACCTTCATTATTGTGACTATTGTCTATTGATAAGTCTTTTTCTCCAATCAATCAATGCCTTTTGATGAAATCAATTATAGCATCATAAAGATTATCAGTTTGGGCCTTAGTCTGAGGATCATGGTCCACGGCCATTTTATTGAGGTAAAAGCTATGAGTCACATTTTCACTCATATAAAGCTCCACATTTTTGTTAGCCTTCTTCAAGGCTTCATAGAATTCCATTTGTGTGTCAATGAACAAATCCTTTTCAGCCACACAATACATAATTGGTGGCAATTGGAGCCCATCTAAAGGCGGTGCGGCTGGGCCCATTGGGCATGTAATTGGGTGATCCTTGGTGCTCCCAATTGGTAAGGCTAGGCTCAAAAACTTATCAGCCATGTCTAGGGTCAAAAATGGAGTTTGGGGCATTTCTGACTCGGACCGGCTTCTCGTGGCTCGAACCACACCCGGGTGGATCGGAATCGACCCGGCTAGTTTCAATGGGCTCAAATTAGTTTTTCCACCTTGGGCCCCCACTTCATGGACTAGGTTACCACCTGAGCTATCCCCAATTAAAAAAACCCGTCCAAAATCAGCCCGGCCTGTGAGCCACTCATCATGGGCCTTGGATTGGGCCAATGAGGTGAGCCATAAAAGGGCCGAGAACCCCTCATTAACAGCAGACGGGAGCCGGTTCTCGGGAGCATGCTGAAGGTAGACCGAGACAACAATGGCCCGGCCCAACTTGGCTAACTTTGAGTAAAACACATAGTACATAAACCAATCGGCCTCACTTATGCAAAACCCACCACCCGGAAAGTGGAGGATCACGGGTAACTTCTCATTCGGGTCATCCTCGGGTCGGGTCTCGGGCATGTATACCCGAACCCGAGGACCCGATTTGAGATTCACATCACGGACCGCAACCCCGTCAATGAATTCTTCATGGGCCGAAACCGGGTCAACCATGAACTTTACCTCGGGTGGCCCGACCCAAGACCGGTCCACGGAACCGTCATCGTAAATCCTTAGCCAACCGGAGACCTCATCAACTAGATTTCTTTCTTGGACCGGCATGGCTAAAAATGGTATGGTGGGAGTTTTAGTTAGTAAGAGAGAGTTTGTTACTAGTGAGTTTGGTGTGTTCTACTCATTATTGTGATGAATTCTAAGAACTATTTATAATAGTCTCATCACATGTGGAAAAAAAAAAGGTAATAGTGCATGCATTAGATTGGAAATTTCGTGGACATTTGGTAGTATTTGCATGTAAAATAATTGGGTGAAGTAGTAACATACTTTACTACGGAGTCTCCTTTGATACCTAATATTCCAGTTTTTGGCTACAAGACTATTCCCTTCAAGTCTTTTTTTTAAATAAAATTGCACTATTGATACAGATACTTTTGTTTTTTTTAACATTACACTACTCGTCTTTTAATTAAAAAATACTTGTATCACAAATATTACACTACTTCTATTTTAATTAATTACGAGTACAATATATATTTTATGAAATCTTATAAGTATGTGACTAGCCATACATATAGTGTGGCCACTTAACATTTAAAGTAATAATTATGTAATAGGGTTGTTGTGTTGAATACCAATTGGTTGTTGGTGTAGTGGTGATTGGGACTACATTTGGTAGGAAGGACTCGTGTTCGATCCCCCGCAACAACAATCAGGAGGGGACTGGAACCTAACCACCCAGAACTGATCACCGAATCCGGATTAACCCAAAGGGTGAATCGGGTAGAACACCAAAAAAAAAAAAAAAAAAAAAACAGTCAGACTCAGCAACTAAAAAAAGGACCTTACTCGACATATTAGAAAAAATGGGATTACTTTCATAAATGGGTTGATTGATTGGGAGCTACGAGATTTATTGTATCAATTTTTATTTTATTTTTTTTAATTTTTTTTTTTTTTTTTTTTTTTGAAAAAAAGCTATAAGAGCGGATGATGAGAATTAATTCCATGATCATCTTAAATTGAGAGTGAGGGATAGCTCAAGTGATTAGAGCTTCCCTTCCGATTTCAAGAGATCCTGGAATCGATTCTCATCCTAAAAAAAAAAAGAATGATCATTTTAAATTGAGTGGATTTAACCATTTACGTTATCGTTCGCTTTCATTTTTATCTGTTTTTTTATTAATAGTTACACTTTTTTTTAGTGATACATTAAGTGGTATTGTATTATTGTACTCCGTACTTCGTATTTATATTTTGGTGGAGACGATGGAAAACGACCGATTAAAAAAAATTGATGAAAGGAACGTTACTACGGGATAGAATCTTTGAAATTTTGCTAACTTGACTGGTCGGGCCCAAAGGCCCACAACTACAAGTTAGGTGTGTGGTACATCACATCAATAAAATGCACACTCTTTTCAGAGCAAATTCCATTGAAATTACAAATGAGCTACTCATTTATTCTTCCTTATTGACCGTATTAATTTTCGTTCATCCCTTATTGACCGACTTAAAATACTACATAGTACTTACTCTATCCCTTATTGATAGTCTTTTATGACCTAGTTTAGGTTTCAAAATAATAATCTCATTTACTTTCTAATTTGACAAAATTTCCTCTAATTTGCAACGATATTTGTGTAAATTTAGCTTCCTTATGTAAATTTTGCATTTTCATATACTTTTATTACTTTATCTCTCAATTTTTTTTTTTTGTATACCCTGTATAAAATTACCTTTCGAATGTACTTTTATTACGGAGTACTTTTTATTTAAGTTTCTTAATTTCCGTAAAATTTTACCTATCATAGAGGACTATCAAAGGATGCACATAGTAACAAAAAGGCTTATGTTTTACGATTATAATTATAAAATCGTGGGATCAAGTCAGCAAACTCATTACGAGACTTGGTGAGCATCTTATTCGCTTATTGTTTTTCCCACTTTTCAAAGTGTTTTGTCCTCCTCACCTAGCTTGGTTTGATATATGAGAGGTCACCTTTAAAAAATAATAATACCGAGTAACATATTTGGTTCATTTAAGAGTTAATTTAAAATAAAAAATAAAAAAGTAACACACATTTTTCATGGCTAAATACTTACATTATACTCCGTACTTTCTCCGATGATTTTTTAGTTGACAGTATTTAACTTTTACATTATTCGTAAATTAATCTTTTACTAGTTTTTGTGATTTGTAACTACGACAAAATTAACTAGAATTTTGTTTGAATCATCTCAATATATAGTTTGTTAAAATTCACTTTTCGAAATTTTTCAATGTCGAGAATTACAAATATTAATCTTTAAAATAATACCACCTCCGTTTTTTATTTAGTTGACACGTTTTGACTATAACACTATTCACACACCTCTTTTTGACCATGTATTGTGCTTTATACGTAATGAAAAATATACTCATGTAGGATCTTGTTAGATTCGTCATATTATATACTTTCAAAACATCAACTTTCCATAATTTTTGTTTATCAATAATTAAAGATATTAATGATTGATAATTGCATTGACAAACGTGACTAAAGAAACGTGTCAACTAAAAAGAAACGGAGGAAATATATATTAACAAATGAAAAATGCAAAACAATATAACTAACACACATATTTACGTGGTTCACCAACAATGAGTTGTCTACGTCCATGAGCATGCGAGAGTAATAGTTTTATTGATATTGGGGAATACAGACTACAGATTCATAACAGATTTGAGACCAATCACAGAAAACATATTGATTGTCTCTTGGATTTCTAATGTTATCTCTCTCATAACTCACAGATGAGAAATGCACAAAAGACTCTCAGATTTCTGAATAATCACTCAACTAATGATTGTCGCGGCTAGGAAATAACCTAGGAGTATTTATAATAACCCCTACACTAGGAAATAAAGGCCTTAATTAAGGAAATAAGGCCCACGAGCAAACTACTCAAAATCGGCCAAAAAACTCCAGGCATGAGCGTGTCATACAGGGCATGGGTGTACCCTGAATCAGAAATAAAGCAGTAACTTGAAAACAAAATGGTAAGGGCATGTCAGATTTTGACATGGGCGTGTCAGTGCGAGTGCTCATATTCTCCATTGAGGCACGCCCATGTCTCCCTAAGGCATGGCTGTGTATCGTTGCATCTTCCCAACTTCTTCATCGAGGCATGCCCATATATACCTACGTCCCAACTATGCAATACAAGTTTCCTAACTCCTGAATTTCCTAGCTCCCCAATTCAAGGCACTATTTCTTAACATATTACTTGTATTCTTTTTTGTATATCTTTTATGTTGTTTTTTCATAGCCCTTTTGCTCTTTTGTTTTATTCTTTATCTAGTTCTAATTAGTTTTTTGTTCTTTTTTATTTTTTTTAATCTTGTATGTGTTGTAGCACCGATATTCTTTGAATTTAACCCTTATGTTCTTTCGTTTTAGTCCTTATGTACTTATAATTATGAATTTGACTACTACGTTATTTGAGGTATTGTATGATACATAATTTATGTTTTAACATATGTTATTCTTAAATTAGTTTTTAGCGCTATTTATAGTTGTTATAATATTAATTTTGAATATTATTTATTAATTTTATTTAAAAATAAATAAATTATTAATAACTAAATACTCCGTATTTTTTTTTCATTTTTTTTAATGAAATGAGCATCATAGAGGTTGGTGACAATATTCTTTTGGGGCTTCTTCCATTGATGATTAATTTCCAAACCTAAAGAACATCCTTAATATATATAAAGAACATGATAATATTATTATATGTGAACATTATTTATATTTATTCACCATGATCTAAAAACAAAATTCAAATAACATTTCACAATAATCAATGAACATTTTGTCACAAATAAAAGTATATTAGACTTATTACAATTAGCGAACATGGAATACTTACAATAGTTTATCAACAAAAGATCTACTCCCTTTGTTTTTAAATACCTGTTTTATTCTTCCCGCCCGTAGTTTTAGGAGAAATTGGAGAAAGTAATAAAATATGGAGGTAGTGGGGTTGGTGGAATAATAAAAATAAAAAAACCCAAAAGTAGTGGAGAGAATTAAAGGAGAGAGAATATGAAATTAAATATAGTTGAGTCCACTTGGTGAGATAAATTAATTAAATATTGTAAAAGCTTTCCAAATAAGGAAATGGAGCAAGTAATTAAAAACAACCGAAAAAAAAGTGGAGCAAGTATTTAAAAACGAAGGGAGTAATAAAGAACATTATCTGATATAATAATGGACATATGAAAAGAACTTAGTATAAATACTTTCTCCATTTTTTTTAAATGCATCACTTTGACTTGCATAATTCACATACCATGGTTGACTTAATTATTTCCTCTCTATAAAATAAACGGAAATTTCACCAAATGCCACTGACAAATTTAAAAATTCACCAAATGCCATCGCACTTTTCAGAATTCACCAAATGCCACTCACAAACAGTATAATGTCACATCGTGCCATTAATGAGGTCTGGATGTCAACAGTCCGTTAATGGGATTCTTAATTCACCAAATGCCACTAAATAATTACTAATTTCACCAAATGCCATTACTTATTGCAGTTATTACACGGTATACCTCTAAAGTAACGACTAGTTTTTTTTAACAATTTTGAATTATTGTTGGGGCACAGTAGCCGTTGCACACACATTCTTGTATAAATGTAAGACTTAAAACACACATTGCATCCCTCCTACTTTCATAATCATGAGTTTGATATCAAACACATCTTCCTCAACACACGAGTGTGTATATGTGCGCGTTCCAAACAAATTTTGCGGTTGTGGCAGAAAATACGCGATTAGAAGTTCGGAGTCAACATCAAATCCACAAAGGCTTTATTTCAAGTGTGACTCGTGTATTAGCTTCAAATGGTGCAAAGTTTTGAAGGCGCAAGAAGTTCACGGGAAGCTACTATGATAGGGATGGACTGGGACATAGCAATTTGCATGATGAATTGAAGCAATTGAAAAAGAAAGTGAAACAACAGCAAAAAGTTCTAAATTCTGTTTTGAAATTAGGTGTATTGATGTGTGTGATATTTGTGATTGTAATGATGAAGTGAACAAAATGTAATTGAGATGAAATTGAATAAAGTGTTAACTTGAACATGTCTTTCATATATTTCTTCCTGTTTCAATCATGTTCATCCAAAAAATAAGGCCACTGTTCATCCAAAAAATTAAGGCCACAATTGACAATGTATTTCTCAAAAGTTTACACAGAATATTTCCCAAAAAAATACCAACACAACACAGCACACATTGGAATTATATTGTTCAACAACTATACTACATTAACAAGTATGTTGTGCATTCAA